TTGTGATCTCTCTCTGTCAAATAAATAAATAAAATCTTTAAAAAAAAAAAAATTTTTTTCTCTTAATAACAATTATGATGGGGAAGAACTATGTAGAGTGTTGAAACTGTTCCCTCAGGGCACCTGGGTGGCTCAGTCCGTGGGATGTCTGCCTTTAGCTCAGGTCATGGTCTCAGGGTCCTGGGACTGAGCCCCGCATCAGGTTCCCTGCTCAGCGGGGAGCCTGCTTCTCCCTCTCCCCCTACTGCTCCTTCTGCATGTGAACTCTTGCTCTGTCAAATAAATGAATGAATTCTTTAAAAAAAAAAAAAAGACAGGATGTATCTTATTGAATCATAATTTGAAATATTCCTTGAACTTGTTTACTACCACTGACTCAGAAGAGCCTAATTGTAAAGCTAACTTTAGAACCTATGACAACCCCTTTCTCCCAGCAGTAGTCTAGATTTGTTATAGGCCATTGCTTAGTGTAGAACTGTTGCTCTAACTTGAATTAATCCAGAATTCATCATTAAGACTGTGAAGTCACTGGTATTTGTAGAACATCCAACGTTGAGCTCATAATACTTTATACAAAGGAAAATATGATATGGGACTACACCAAAAAGCTGTTGCACAGCAAAGGAAACCATCAGCAAAACAAAGAAGCAACCTACCGAATGGGAGGTGTTTGCAAATGATACCTTCAATAAGGAGTTGATATCCAAAATATATAAAGAGCTTATACAACTCAACACTGAACAATAGGATTTAAAAACGGGCAGAGGAGTTGAATAGACATTTTTCCCAAGGACATACAGAGGGCCAGCAGACACATGAAAAGAAGCTCAGCATCATTAATCATCAGGGAAATGCAAATCTAAACTGCAACGAGATATCACCTTATACTTGTCTTAATGGCCAGTATCAAAAGGACAAGAAATAACAGGTATTAGCAAGGCTGTGGAGTAAAAGGGACCTCATGCACTGTTGGTGGGAGTATAAATTAGTGTAGTCATTGTGGAAAAGAGTATAGAGGTTCTCAAAAAATGAAAAATCGAAATATACTAAATGATCTAGTAATTCCACTACTGGGTATTTACCCAGGAAAATGAAAACTCTAGATACAGTTGAAAAGATATATGCACCTCTGTGTTTATTGCAGCATTGTTTTTAAAAGCCAAGACATAAGTGCAACACAGGTGTCAACAGATGGTTATAGAAGATGTGGTATATATATATATATATAGTGGAATAGTTCTCAGCCATAAAAAAAGAATGATATCTTACCATCTATGACAACATGGATGGACCTAGTGTGTATTATGCTTAGTGAATTAAGTCAGACAGAGAGAAACAAATACCATACTATTTCACTTCCAGGTAGAATCTAAGAAACAGACTCTTAAATGCAGAGAACAAATTGATGGTTGCCAGAGGCGATGAGGGTGTAGGGGATGAGTGAGATAGGTTAAAAGGATTAAAAGGGATAAACTTCTAGTTATAAAATAAATAAGTCATATGGATGAAAAGTATAGCATAGGAAATATAATCAGTAATATTTAATAACATTGTGACAGATGGTGACTACATTTATCACAGTGAGCAGTGAGTAACGTATAGAATTGTTGAACCAACATGTTATACTTCTGAAACTAATATAACTTACTTAGTTCCATGACTGGTAAATGCTTATAATGATTGAAAGAAAACTACCTGAATATAAAATTATTGGCATGTATTTATTTCTGTCTCATTCACCATTTCGCATTCCTGTTGTAACTTTGGTAGTGGGTTTTTTTTTTTTTATTTGTTTTGTTTTCACTTCTTCCCCAAGCAACTGATTAGTGTTAACCATTAGATTTATTTTGATATGAACTTTGTATTTAATTAGATCATTATGACCCCTCCATTATGATCAGGAAATAACAGAATATGGGTATGAAAAGGGAATTGAAATGGAAAAAAAAAGACAAATACACATTTATAAGGTTATACTTTCAGTAAAGTATAGAATTCCATACAGAACATTCTTTTTTTTCTAAGCAAAAAAAAAAAAAAAAAAAATCAAAGAGAGCACAAACTGTGTCAAAGTTCTGCGTCTGTTCAAAGGCAGTCCTGAGAGGAAAATATATAGTGGTACAAGCCTTTCTCAAGAAACAAGAAAGGTCTCAAATACACAACCTAACCCTACACCTAAAGGAGCTAGAGAAAGAACAACAAAGAAAGCCTAAACCCAGCAGGAGAAGAGAAATAATAAAGATCGGAGCAGAAATCAATGAAATAGGAACCAAAAAAACAATAGAGCAAATCAACAAAACTAGGAGCTGGTTCT